TTCTTCTTCTTCTTCTTCTTCTTCTTCTTCTTCTTCTTCTTCAAGTCAAAAACTAGGAACCTGGAGTAGATGGCTTATTATACAAGGATTTGTCATGTCTAAATTAAAACATTTGGGCATGTTTCTTAAGATAATTCCAACAACTCTTTTGAGAGAATTCCTTTTAGGAGAATGTATAGTATGGCATGGCAATCTACCATTCAAAGAAATAAATTAGAATACTAGATTAGAAGATATCAAAGAACGTCTTTAGAATTGAATTATGTTGTTCAGTATAACTTGATTGTGCAGTTGATTGATTATTCTTTTGTATGTGTGTATTTCCTTTATAGGAGTGCAAGAGCCGCATCATGAGAAGGTTATTACTGTGTCCACTAATGGAAGTATTCACAGCCCTAAATTTCCTTACACTTATCCTCGCAACATAGTACTTGTATGGCGATTAGTTGCAGTTGAAGAGAATATGTTGATACAACTTACTTTTGATGAAAGATTTGGGCTTGAGGACCCAGAAGATGATATATGCAAGTAAGTATTAATTTCTGAATGTTTGTAGATGTAATAAAAAAGGCAACATGTCATATAATACTGTGTAGCTTACACAAACTTTTAACAAGTGAAGGCTAAGTGTTTTGGGGTTCAAAGAAGCTGCTGTTAAGCAATTCATCTGTGGACCTGAAGGTGGCTGTGCAGTCTCAATCTGGAAGTGTATTGTCTAGCACAATGGGGACACTGTTATTCTATGATGCTGCTTATGATTTTCTATAACTTTTTGGTGGTGCCTATCTTGAAAGCCAATGGAGGCTTCATGGCACAGGGCTCAACAGCAGTTTCTTTCAGCAGTTGCAGCTTCTAGTTCCCTTGGTTGGATGTCACAGTGGTGTAGAGTTTCCTTCACAGTGTCTTTGGTAGGGTCTGCATGGAACATCTTGAGTTCTCTTCCCAGTCTCAACACACCACAATCGGCAAGGCATACAGTCATCCATTCTGATTATATAGCACATCCACTGCCTCTAGGTTCTAATAATCAGGGACTCAATGCTGGTGTACTTTGGGTGATTCAGGACCTCCAGATTGGAGATATGGTCTTGCAAACAAATGCCAAGGATGAAGCACAGAGGGCACATGTGAAATTTATCCAGATGTTTGATGTATCATTGGTATAGAATCCAGAACTCATATTCATGCAGGAGAGATTTTTATGATAAAAAGTTAAATAAAAGATGACTGTTGATATTTATGGAAACCCATTTTGATTTTCCAAAGCATTGGTATAGTTTTCAAAAAAACTGAAATTTTCTGTATTTAAAAAAAGTACTCACTAAGTGAATATAAAGCACGGCCTAATAAGAACAAATGATAGAAAAATATATTTTAATGTAGCAAAAAATGTAAAAATATACTGTATTATAGGTAGATCATCAAATATTATGCATATTCCTATTTTCAAGCTAATTTAACAGTTATTATATTGTTTTATGAAGTCTTATTTACATGTCAATATAGCACTGCATTACATTAAACCAAATTGCCATTGCAATCATATTACTCAAATGCTGTACAGGTTGTCCTCCTAGAACCATTTGTTTCGCAACTGTCAAAAGTTACAACAGAACTGGGAAAAGTAACTTACGATTGGTCTTCACAATTATGATTGTTGCAGTATTTGACTGTTGCAGAGTCACATAATCAAAATTTGGACACTCTGCAACTGGTTTGTTGAATTTACGAGAGTTGCAAGATTCCAGAGTCTTTCATTTCGGCCTTCCCAGCTGGCTTTCTACAAGCAAAGTCAATGGGGGAAGCCATGTTTACTTGACTGATGATTCCCTTAACAATTGCAGTGATTAGCAATCATAGCAAAAACAAGCATAAAATCAGGCTCACTTAATAACTGTCTTGCTTAGTATGGAAATTCTGATCTTAGTTTGGCCATAAATCGAGGACTACTTGCATCACATAAACATGATCAGTTGAATTCAATTGTAATAGGTTTCAAATTTTTTCTTTTCTTAAGAATTTTAATTCTAGTCTATACTATTCAAATTGTATAGACTAACAAGCAGAAACAATGTTGTAGATACTTTGCTTTTGATATTTATTTTGAATGAAAACTACTTGACTAATACTTCACTAAAAGAGTAGTTCATAATAAACTTAAATATAGTCATCATTATAAATTGGCTTTTGATTTATGGTAGAAACCTCATCATAGGCTATAATCAAGCACTAGAAAATTCAGCTAATAGATTCAGTGTGACTTAGAAATTAGATCACAAAGCTATTAGATGACTTGACTTTTGCTAGTACTGTTTTTGGTAGTATTGTATCCATTTGTTGCAGCAGCTCTTTAAATATAGTGGCTTTAATTGGTCACAATACTGCAATAAAAGCTGAGGTGGTGTAGTGGTTAGAATGCAGTATTGCAGGCTACTTCTGCCAGCTGACAGCAGTTCGATTCTGATCACCTCTAGGTTGACTCAGCCTTCAATCCTTCCAAGGTCAATAAAATGAGGATCTAGATTGTTGGAGGCAATATGCTGACTCTGTAAACCATTAGAGAGGGATGTAAAGCACTGTGAAACAGTATGTAAGTCCAAGTGATATTGCTTTTGCTACTACTTGATTACTGCTTCTTCATATTGTCCTTTTCTTGATTAATGAATATTCCTATCATCTATTTTATCTGGTCATCCTAA